AACCTTAGCGTACTTAAAATTGGGCAATTTTATTGTATTATTATTTTTTTTTTTTTTTATTATTCACTATTGTTTTTCATAAAAATTGTAATATATATACAAATAGTTATAGTTACCTACCTATTCCGCATTTTTTTTTTCTTTAATGACAGTTTAAAAAATTCTAAACAATATTTAATTTTAATTATATACATTTTTCTATGCACAGTCTATAATAGAACATTAAAATATGTTTTTTATTTAAATATAGGCTATTTTATCTAAATAATTTTAGTTTATTAAAATATTGTTTCTTGGTCACGACATAAAATTTGTTGTTTTTCTTTTATTAATTTGCTACTCATTATTTTTGGATTAAATTGATTTCAAATTAAATCAACATTGCTATATTAATTTTAGATTCTGAGTGGATTGATGAATGTTTTGATTTTACAATGATGAGTGTTTTTTTTTTTTTTATGCATGAGTACAGTATACACAATTTATTGTGTAATTTTAAATTCAATATCTTTTCTGGTGGAAACTAAATACTGTTGATACTTTTGGGAGATAATAATTAAATATTTCTTGTACTTTTCTTAATAATTTGGGAAAACAAAAAGAGGAAAATGTAACTGTTCTTCTGTAATATGTACCTACTGTAAGTACATAACATGTACAATGTTAAATTTGAATTTAACGTATGCATATATTTATATTGCTGTTAAAATAATTTATTTTACTATTAGTACTGACTAAGGTAAGTTGATTTAATTTTTTCCAAAAACATTGCCTTTATTATATTATTAATATTTAATTATTATAATAGTATATATGATTTATATTTTATATTAAAACTATAAAATTATGATTCATGAGAAACAAGCAATACCTTAAAATTAATTWAAATGTTTTGAAAATGTAATTTTGTTTATAAAATATAATATACACTAAAACAAACAAGTTTCAAGTCCCCTTAAATAATATTTTTGAATAATTACAACCAAAATAATCAAAATTGTTACCTATTCTTAATTTAGGTAATAACATTTTGTACAAATTTTAATGTCTACCTACCTATATGAAAAAAATTGTAWTTATATATTATGTTTTAAATTTTTTTTTATCAAAACAACATACTTATGAAGAATTTCAAAGTAATACTGCCTCAACTATAAAAACTGGATATTTTATAAATTTGCAAAATATGTTTGTGATTTTGAAGAATTTTGATGATATTTCTATAGCTTATAAAAGTTGTGCTTATCATATTTATCTTGAATAATATTTTTAAATAGTTTTGATAGAAATGTATTCAGAATGTTGTATTATAATAATCATTCATTGTCGAGCTTTTCAACCAAKTAAAAAAAATTTTATCGATATTTATTGAAAAAAAATCGAAAATATCTATGAATACCGCTAACAGTCAAAATATTTTGAAAATTATACCRTGTATCTATATGAYATTGAGTCAATACTGCCTTACCGTTGAACAGTGTGAAKAGGTACGTATAATAAATTTAYTAAGCAATAGCGTCATAGAATCAACTTAAGTGGGCGCTTGTTCGGTTTGCGCTTTACAGAAAAGTTTCTGGTTCGRTGTGCGTTSTTCATACGTCGTTTTTATTTTTAATATTATTATTGGCATTTATATCTGTCAAGGAGGGTGGACCGTCCTCAGCTAATAATCTACCCCTATCATACTTCCTTCGGCCAAACAGTTGGGCATACTACTCGGAAAATATTAAGCCAGCCGGTAACACAYTTCTTGTTCTCTTCCTGTCCGATCCATTGCCATTTGTGTGAGCAATTCCAATACAAACATAAATACAAGTTAACAATTTTTATTTTATTTTTTTATTATTATTAGATAAAATAGAATATTTACAATCTGTAATATTTGTACAWTGTACATATACAATAAGTAAATTTGATAAATAATAAATAACATAACGTGAGTGATATGAAGAGGGAAACCCACCAGTATGGATACCCTCTAACAATTTAACAAAGTGTCAACTCACTGWTTCAACGTTGGTTCAAGTCAGTGAAATGAAAAAATTTGTTGTAAGCTCGTGTCGATATTGTTGTCTGACAGCCTTWATTTGGACACCGAAATCATATATGTAAAAACGAGGCAGATTATTGTTGTCCAATATTCCCGTACCAAACGTAGATCGAATGTAGAACGGCAAAACCAGTAGAACGCATACCGAACTATACCACCCTTAAGTGTTTTGAAAATGTCATACAATAAAATATAAATAATAATTTACATTAAGGTAAACATTTTAAATCTCCAAAAAAAATATTTTTGAATTTTATTACAAGATAACTAAAACACGTTATTCAATATTTAAATATGTATTTAATTTCATCAGAATTTGACCTCAAATACTTWTATAAGAAAATTATGTTTTTTATTTTAAATGTTTTTTAAATATCTAAAGTTAATAAAATAATAACAACTTATGAAGAACTTTGTTCAAACTTTGTTTTATAAGTTTTGTCATAACCCCTATATTATGGATGTTAAAGTAAAGTATTGGAGTGATAAAATAATTATAATCTATCTATAATTCATTAGCCGAGTGGCAGAATTTTTTTGGATAGATAATATCATAAGTTTATGTTATTGTCTATTTACTACGGAATTGTGTTGTGGTGATCTTTTTATATGTGTCAGTGTTCCCTTGTCTAGAACTAGATGGCCGCTCATGTGGCGAGAATGGCACTGTATATTTATCCACTCGGCCATTCCGTCCCACAAGAATCATGTTGAAAATAATTCACTACGCAATCAGCACAATCATATTTTATAATACAATATTAAATTTACAACATTTTCATTTACAAACTTTAAATTATTTACTGCAATAACTTGAAACTAAGTACAACAGACAACTGCCATAGTCGTCCATCAACCATTGTTTTTACAAACTTACATTATATAGAAGTACCTGGCGGCCTGCAGGCAGTGGCGTACTTAGACCTGTACTTCGAGGGAGGGGGGATAATTAAATTTTTTTTTCATATTGGATGACCTGAAACCTGAACATAACAAAACGTATCATACATTTTAATAAACTACTAATTTGTATTCGTGTTATTATTTTTAATTGACATGACACCCTAAATTTTAGTTTTCGCATTATAAAAATTTCGGGGAGAGCAACCTCCCCYCATTGGCCGCTAGTACGTCACTGCCTGCAGGTCTTAGGTGTCAACATTTTTTACGCATAAGCACGTGTTTTTAAAACAGTTATATATATTACAAAAATTACAGCGATTGGTGAAATGTAAAATTGCAAGTCCCAAACGATAGTAGAGTATCAAAAGTATTATTTTTTTGGAATTATAACTATACTGTATAGTACAGGATCATATATATAGTTTGAACTGTTTCGACTAAGTTTAGAGTTTTGGTTTATATAGTTATTCATGTAAACAATTTTACAGTAATTCGTAGTTGCATAAATCTTATAATTCTTTCCATTAATAAAATAAGACMGAGTAGGTTTTATGTTATATGTTTTAGGTTTTATGTTATTAATTGTAAATAGCAAAATTAAATCGATCGGTGTAATAGACTAACCGGCAAAACATTAAGCTAGAAACTATGAAAAATTTAAAAATTGTTCAAATGGATGTCTTTTATTCTTATCTGAAGTCCGAAGACTGATATTATAATATGTTATCAGTAAAATAAATAAATCACTATATCATTGTATACTTTTCGGTCGTCAAAAGAATGAGAGGCATTGTTGAACTATGTTTAATATTGTAATATTTCAATTCGCTTGCGCATTTAAACTTAAGTTCAAAATATGGATTGGATTTTGCAATTCTCCACCGATTTAACTGGCGTGCACAAAGTACACACTTATYACAAGCATCACCTAATACTTTGTGGAATTTCGTGATGGAAACGAAATTGTTTTGGTTGCCGGCACTCCGGCAGTCGATACAACAGACTGAATGCGTGACTGTAAATTAACCCTTCCACTGAATTCTTATCATTTAAACAGTCATCAGTCACGTGACGGGCACCAATGTGTAAAGACGATAATAATAAAATTGCATAGTACGCTGCTTGCAGTTGTTAGTCATCGTACTTCACGAGCTATACCAGTACTAAAGAGCACGGATGAACTGAGTCCGAACAACAAAACTCGAATTGTTATTAGATTTTGATTCGTCTTAAAAATTTGAGAAAATATCTGATTACAAAACTGCCTTTTGTGGTACATAAAACATAACTTCTATTGTATGTAAGTATATATATATATATATTGCGTTTATTTGCATAAATATTAATAAATAAACCAAAATACGTCATTAGTATAATACGACATATTATGGTCTTACAAATATACCGGTAACATATTATTATACTTCGATAATAATAACTTAATAAATTAAATGCCTACATCGACAAAATAATAATAATAATGATATCATCATATAATAAATAGATTAATATTATTTAACTTCAAATGAATAATATTGATAAATAATAAATACAAATAAATAATTTATAAATATATAGGTATTTGAATAAACATATTATGAATGTAGTATGGTATTATGCTATCATAATAAATATTAAATAAATTAACGCGGAATCGAAGCTCCTGTAACCACCGAGGTAGGTAGATTATACTATATATGTATAAAAAGTACCTAAACCTCGACTTCTACAAAGTATAAACGATAAAATAAAAAAATACTCGCATGCCAATATAGGTATGACGCGTGCRTTCGACAAATGAAATCGTACAGCCGATAAAATTTGTCGATTTACACACATATTATTACCTATTATGGCATGTTTATGACATAAAAATAAATTATACATTATATGGACCCTACTGCTGATTAAACGGCAGGGAAGTCGCCCTTGATCCTTAAATTTATTTTTATTTTACAAGTACCTAAATATCCAAACCGCTTAAATTAAAAACTAATCATATATTATACCTATATCAGATATTAGAAATACCTATTATATTATATTATTATATAGATCGATATAATTTTTTTTTTTTTTGTAAATTTTTTTTCTTCGCGCCTCTCAAATCCACGTCGTTACCGTATACATTAATAATAATAATTAATATTAATCGTAATATAATATTATTCTTAATTATATCTATCATCGTTTCGTCGTCGATCAGCTGTTCATTCGTAAAGCGTGGAGTCCAACAACGGCTCCCTCTGGAAACCACGGCTGCCACAACCGTCTGGGCCCTTGGGCATCCTGACCACGTTGTCCGGCGTCACAAGGCCCAAACTGGGACGGCGCCCCCTGCCACCCGATGAATCGGAGTCGACGGACAGACGCCGGCCCATGCCGCCCTCGCCCATCGACGAAGAGCTGCTCTTGCGCGACCAGTTGTGGAATCCGTCCCTTGGTTGACTGCCGCAACAGAAGTCCGATGTCGAGTCCTTGCGCATCATCATATCGCCACTGCTGCTGCTGCTACTGCTGCACCGCCTCATGTCGTAGTGGTGTCCGTTGTCCTGTGTCGAGTGCCTGCGCATGGCCACGGGCTGTTGCTGTGGCTGTGGCTGAGGCGGCTGGTTGTGGCCGCAACAACAGCACGGCTGCTGCTGCTGTTCGGGGCCGCGGTTGGCCAATGAAAAGCGACGCATTCCGAATGTTTCCGGTATAGACACGCCGCTGCTGGAGCGCGATCGGCCCGAATAATAGCTTTCCGAGCTCGAGTCCCAGCCGGTCGACATGCGCCTGTTGTGACCGTAGTCGCCAGGTTGCTGCATGTGATGCTGCGGCGGCGGTACGTACGAATCGCGTCGGGAGTACCCAGAAGCGGAGCTGTCGGTGCCCGAGTCCCTGGACCACCTGCGCTGGTTCCAAGACGAGTCGGACCGCATGAGCGTGTTGGCCGACACCTTTCGCTGCATGCGCATCTTTTGCCTGTCCTCCGCCTCCGAACCGCTCTGGCACGACGACGAGTACTCCGAGTCGAACAGTCGGTTCATCGGCGACTTTTTGGCGGCCGCGGTGGCCTTCTTCTTGGACGCGGGAGCGTTGAGCTCGAGCACGCACATGGACTGCCCGTCCTTGGCCTTTTCCGCAGACCAATCTTTGCTCATCGCGTTGTGCGCCGATTCAGTGCGCACGAATTCGATCAGCGCGCTCACGTTGCTGCCCATCTCCGGGTGCTTGTTAACGAAATGACGGACATCGGACGGTATGGGATTGCCGGGCCGGAGCACGCGGATCAGCGCGATCTCGCCACAGCCACGGAATAATTCAGCCACCGACTCGATGGTCACCGGTTTCTCTTCGGGCAGGTTAATGGCCACGACGGTCCGGGATGGAGTAGTCTGGTCGTACGCGGGCAGCGGCTCCTTGCGCCGCAGCTTCGTCCCGGACTCGTTTACCTCAAGCTTTTCCGACCTGGTAATGGCGTACGCGACAGCTCTCCAGTCCTTGGCCAGGTGCTTGACCCGCTTGAACGATGAGATGAGCTTCAGCGACACGTATCCTTCTTTGTTGCGGCGGACATGCTTCAGCAAAAACGCGTCTTTTACGATGTTCGCGTCCGAAAAGTAAAATTCCACCTGGTCAAGTATACGCTTGGTGGTCTCTTCGTCTGGCGCTACGAACGGCGTGGACTCGTCGCCGGACTTGAGCTGACCGCCTTCGTACGCCGAATCGGAAGAGTCCGTGTTGTTGATGGCGGTAGCAGAAACGACCGAATGGTGCCGGCCACCGTCATCGGTGCCGGACCCGCTAGAGTTGTTGGCCGATGACATACCACCTGTTTGGCTCAGTGAACGCGGGTAAAATGGTGCCGCGTCGTAAGACAACGATATGTCACTGTCCACGGACGATACGCTAGCGCGCTTTAAGTCGAATGCCTTGCCGACGATCGGCAACGGGGCGGTTACTACGGACGTCTTGGACGARGGCAGTGGCGCTACGATCTCTTCGGTAAAGTCTTGGTCAACTGTCGACGGAGTAGTCGCTGCAGGAGTCTGTTGCTGCTGTTCTTCGACGACGGACGCGATCTCTTGCTTGATCTGTTCCGTTTCAGTTGATGCGATCGTTGCTGCCATCTTTTGCGCGCGAACATTCACCACATCACACGGAACACTCGACGGCGGAGGTAGAAACGCGAATACTTGATATTAGGTAAAGGTAGGTATATGTTTCAAACTGCACTATGCGCACAGACACACGCGCACTTGTCGTTAATACACGAACACACACACACGCACGTGGAACGGGTTTCTCCAAAACGCACGCGTCTTATGTCTCGTCGTCGACGCGTGTAAAAATCGAAAGTAACACACAAGAGCTCACACTGAAACGCGCGCGCGGCAACCCCCCCCAAACACTATATAATACTATATAATAATAATTATGCAGTCGGTATATTGTATTATTATAGGGTTATTCTGTTTCGACGGCGGTCGCACTCACGCCCTCCACAGTCCGTACGAAAAATCGTTGTGCACACGACAGGACGACTGTGTAAATTACTCGAACGAGACGCACCCCTGGCTTCAGGTGGCGACTGTGCGGGCTAGTTCAATGACGGCGGCGTCGACGGTCGGTGTCCGCGGTCGTCTGTGCGGCGGCAGCGCGGGATTTATGGTGTCGGTGGCGACGGGTCGCGTATTTAATCTACGGCTGTACGTATTAAAAAATCAACTAAAACGCTGCCGCGGCGTTCACCTGCTTATATAACATGTGCGCCGATCCGTCCAGGGTTATTGGACCGCCGGCGGTTCAATGTCGCCGGGCCCCCACCGCGGCCGTCGGCGAAACGCCGCGCGTCGGCCCGTCCGCTGTCGTGTCGTGTTGTCCCGTGCGCGCGGCGAGCGAGAGAGCGAGAGCGAGAGCGAGTCTGCTTTATCCCGCGCACACGTACACGATGTGTGGGGTGTGTGTGCGTGTGTGTGTGCGGTATACCGATTTGCGCCTTTTACTCTCGATGACGGCGGCGGTGGCGGTTACGCGTTGTTGTTTACTTCACTTCCGATTCGCACTGTCCCACACGCTCGTCGTTATAATATGCGCGCACGTTCTCTTCCTTGTTCCGGACAACGCGGCATTGAGACTTTAATGTACATGTAATATCCAAGTGTTTGCAAGTGTGTGTGTGTATGAGCGAGAGTGTGTGCCCAGGACCTTGGGTGTGAAGGTGGCCGCCTGGATCGAGTCTCTATATTATCTCCTTTATTATACATTTATACATACTAAAGGTATATATAATATACTATTATTATTCGAACAAACGTCGTGGTCGCCACAAACCATAATATGCATATTATATACAACCCATGTATATACACAACCTTACAGGTAAATAATATATGATACCCGAAGATACGCGTGCGCTCAATATCAATAAGAAATAAAAATGTATATATATATATATACCTATATATGATATATAAGGTTAGGTTAAGTTACACCAGGTTTTTTGTTTTTCTTTTTTCATTTTATGTAGGTATATCGTACAATTCGTACAGGTTTATTGTACGCTGCTAATATGTACATTAAAGGTCCTTCGGACGAATTTTGTAAATTTTTACGCTTATTCCCCCACCCACCCTCGTGACAATATTGGCAGAAGGTATATCGATATTGCAATATAATATATATGATATCCATTTGTGCTCCGCGCGGAAACGCAAGACAATAGAAATCATAATCTTGTAACGTATTGTAATGCACAGTCGAGTTTATATATTAATGGTCTACATACTTATTCTCCGAATTCGTCCTTGATAGTTATATATTATTTTTTTTTAAATCCTTTTTCGTCGACGTCGCGACGTCAACGATTTTTAGGAGCTGTCCAAAACGACTAGACATCAAGGTACAACGAGTACCAGTCGTGTAGCTGTTAGGCAATGGCATTTTATGATTGATCCCTAGAACGGTTTTTCAAATATTTTAATGGATTTCATTTCGTTTCAATGAACGATATATTTTTTAACGCCCTTTTTGTACTTGCATTCATATTTTAGATTCTGAACGGTTCAAAAAGTACACATTTCATCYTTTACTAACCAGTGGCATACAGTCTGTTTTATATTAGTTATTACTCATTGATTTATGTTTAACACGCACACGCAATTAGSTATCAAATAGTATAATTAACACCTACGTTTGAAATTACATCACACAAATTTCGGTAATTAAACCGTTATTTTGAGAATAGATATTATGGAAATACCGAATACACGGTAATAAATTCAAGTATACTCATACCTGAACCGGCTTCATCAAATAAATTCTAG